TAAACATCTGGCACAAAACCCGCACCCCCCCCCCCCCCGCCCATCAGATGACGCAACCAAACAGATCCGCAGCACAGCCCCCCACCTCCCCTGCCCCCCCCCCCAAAGGGCAAACAGTACAAGCCGCAATCAGTGCAACGCGCAGCCGGCTTTTGAACGCTAATAAAACATTAACCGGCCGTAAGTGGCGCATCCATAATACATCAGAGTTCAACAAGCACCTTCGCGGATGCTGGATCTGCAGATGCGCGAGATGCCTTGATGGACTGGATGCTGCATGCTGCGAGATGCTGGATGCTGCAATGCTGGATGCTGGGTGATGCTGCATGCTGCGAGATGCTGGATGCTGCGAGATGCTGGATGCTGCGAGATGCTGGATGCTGGATGCTGCGAGATGCTGCTGCGAGATGCCTGGATGCTGCCTGGATGCTTATGCTGGATGCTGCTGCGAGATGCTGGATGCTGCGAGATGCTGGATGCTGCAGATGCTGGATGCTGCTGAGCATGCGAGATGCTGGATGCTGGATGCCGCGAGATGCTGGATGCTGCGAGATGCTGGATGCTGCGAGATGCTGGATGCTGCGAGATGCTGGATGCGATGCTGGATGCTGATGCTGGATGCCGCGAGATGCTGGATGCCGCGAGATGCTGGATGCCGCGAGATGCTGGATGCCGCGAGATGCTGGATGCGCGAATGCGAGATGCTGGATGCGCTGGACGAGATGCTGATGCTGCTGATGCTGCTGGATGCGCGAGATGCTGGCGAGATGCTGGATGCTGCTGGATGCCGCGAGATGCCTGGATGCCGCGAGATGCTGGATGCTGCGCCTGGGCTGCGAGATGCTGATGGCGAGATGCTGGATGCCGCGAGATGCTGGATGCCGCGAGATGCTGGATGCGGAATGCTGGAGCCGAGATGCTGGATGCTGCGAGATCTGGACTGCTGCGCGAGATTGCTGGATGCTGGAGATGCTGGATGCCTGCTGCGAGATGCTGGATGCTGCGAGATGCTGGATGCTGCGAGATGCTGGATGCTGCGAGATGCTGCGAGCATGCTGGAATGCTGGATGCTGGATGCTGAGATGCTGGATGCCTGGCGGAATGCTGGATGCTGCGAGATGCTGGTGCTGCGAAGATGCTGATGCCGGGAGATGCTGGATGCTGGGAGATGCTGTGCTGGAGATGGCTGCGAGATGCGGATTGCGCGAGATGCCCGGAGATGCTGGATGCTGGGAGATGCTGGATGCGCTGAGATGCTGGCGCGAGTGTGATGCGAGATTGCTGGATCCGCGAGAATGCTGGATGCTGCGAGATGCTGGATGCTGCGGAATTGCTCTGATAGATGCGAGGGAACTGGATGCTGGAATGCTGCGAGATGCTGGATGCCATGGCGAGATGCCTGGATGCTGCGAGATGCTGGAGCTGGCTGCGATGCTCGCTGGATGCTGGATGCTGCGAATGATGCTGCGAGTGCTGCGAGATGCTGGATGCTGCGAGATGCTGGATGCTGGGGAGATTGTGGATGCTGATGCTGGATGCTGGAGATGCTGGATGCTGGGAGATGCTGATGCGCGAGTGCTGGATGCTGCGAGATGCGGATGCTGCCGAGACTGCTGGACTGCTGCGAGAATGCTGCTGCTGCGAGATGCTGATACTGCGAGATGCTGAGCTGCGAGGTGCTGGATGCTGCGACGGTGCTGGATGCTGGAGATGCCTGGATGCTGGTCTGGATGCTGCGAGATGCTGGGAGACTGCGAGATGCTGGATGCTGCGAGATGCTGCGATGCTGCCGAGATTGCTGCGAGTGCTGCTGCGAGATGCTGGGATGATGCTGCGATGCTGGCGAGATGCTGGAATGCTGCTGAGATGCTGGATGCCGGATGCTGGATGCTGGAATGCTAGATGCGGATGCTTGCGATGCTGAGGTGCTGCGGAGATGCTGGATGCATGCAAGATGCTGGGATGTGCGAGGATGCTGCGAGATGCTGGGAGATGCTTGGATGCTGCGAGATGCTGGATGCTGCGAGATGCTGGATGGATGCTGGATGCGCGAATGCTGGATGCTGGATGCTGCGAGGTGCTGGATGCTGCGAGATGCTGGATACTGCGAGATGCTGGATGCTGCGAGATGCTGGATGCTGCGAGATGCTGGATGCTGGGAGATGCTGAATGCTGGATGCCGGGAGATGTTGGATGCTGCGAGGAGTGCTAGAAGAATGCTGGATGCTGCGAGATGCTGGATGCCGGTCTTGCTGAGGCTGAGGCAAGGGAGAGTACGACACAGTACACCGTAAATAAGAAATGATCGGCGCGTATTTCCATAAGGGAGGAAAAAATGGGCGGTAATGTTTGCGCTTTGTTTAGACGTTGCGGCGCCGAAAGTCTTGCGGTCAGAATTTTTCTAGTTGTTGTTGTTGTTGTTTTATTTACTCTCGGAATCTTTATTTTTCTATGATGTCTGTCTATTTACTTCTGACTTTCTCCGATATCTCTCTTCCATGACGTACTCTGCGCGCTTTCGCTTCACTGGTCGTTCGCAATTTTCCACGGAGTCGTGTATTTCATCTTCGATTTTCTTTTTCCTTACAGTAAAGTCCATCCGTTTCTTTCCATCCGTCTTTCTACTCGCCCCACACTTTCTTTTCCATCTGCACTCTTTCTTTCTATCTTTCTCTCTTCCTCTCTTCCTTCCTTCTGGCCTTCCTTCCTTCCTTCTTTCCTTCCTTCCTTCCTCCCACCCTCCCTTCCTCCTCCACCCACCCACACACCCACCATAGAACCCCTCCCCCCACTCCATCTCCCGCCTTCCCTCCGTCTTGCCCTCCCGCCAGGACGTCTTCCCTCCGTTTTGCCCTCCCGCCAGGACACCTTCCCTCCGTCTTGCCCTCCCGCCAGGACATCTTCCCTCCGTCTTGCCCTCCCGCCAGGACACCTTCCCTCCGTCTTGCCCTCCTGTCAGGACGTCTTCCCTCCTGTCAGGACACCTTCCCTCCTCTCAGAACACCTTCCCTCCTGTCAGGACACCTTCCCTCTACCTTTATCGAAGCATTATTAATTCATCCATGAGCAACATGAATACCTCCGCACGCAGTCATTGCCAAGTGCGACGCGACGATCAATGATCACCGAAATACACCCTACCTCTCCCTCACTCTCCCTCCCTTCGTCGTCCGATACGTCATGATTCTCCCTTATCCGGATTTTCGTTTCTCCTCTCTCTCTCTCTCTCTCTCTCCTCTCTCTCCTCTCTCTCTCTCTCTATATAATATATATATATATATATATATATATATATATATATATATATATATATATATATATATATAGAGAGAGAGAGAGAGAGAGAGAGAGAGAGAGAAGAGAGAGTGAGAGGGAGAGAGAGAGAGTGAGAGGGAGAGAGAGAGATGTGTGCGTGTAAGTGTAAGTGTACGTGTACGTGTACATGCATGAGAAGTGTGTGAGTGCGTGCCAGTGTGAGTGTGTGCATGTACGTGTATGAGCTTAAGTGTGTGAGTGTAAGCCTGAGTATGTGTGCGAGTCTGAGTAAGAGTGTGTGTGTGCGAGAGTCTGGAGGTCGTCAAGCCCGCGTCTGGCTGAACCTCGCTCTCCCCTTCTCCGATTCCCATTCCGATTGAAACGTAGCTATCTTTCAAGAAGACCCTTCCGACCCAGAGAGCAGCAAAATAAGAGCTAGTGAGAGAGAGAGGGGAGGAGAGGGAGGGAAAGAGGGAAGGAGGAGGAGGGGAAGGGGGAGGGAGAAGGAAGAGAGGGGGAGAGAGAGGGGTGGGGAAGGGAGAGAGAGAGGGAAAGAGAAAGGGATGGATGGATGGATGGAGAGAGGGGGAGAGAAAGAGGGACAGAGTGAGAGGGAGGGAGGGAGTGAAGGAAGGACAGTAGGGAGAGAAGAAGGGAGAGAGAGGAAGAGAAGAAGACAAGAAACTGAGTAAAAATGCGAGAGGGAAGGGAGAAAAAAAAAACACGCATAAACACAGAAATAGTCAAACCATCTCATCTTCGCTCTCAGCGGGTCGTGATACAGACAAGAAACGCACGGTATTGTCCCCGCACAATGAGCATCTCAGAAACATTATTCTCGCCTTGTTTCTATATGATGATAACGCGGACTCCCAATCGCGACAATGGACCTTATGCAGCCTGCTGATACGGCCCAGTCTCCCCTGGTCTTGGGTCGAGGGGAAGGAACCAGCACAGATTTGTGGAATCAATGCTGGTCTGTGATTGGTCCACTGGATGTATGTCCGACAGCTCCCATTGGCTAGTTGTAAATACTATTAGTAGAGGGAAGATTGAGAATTAGGTGCGCGTACACAACGCCGAACTTGTTTACAACGTAGCCTCTTATTAACCCGACGGCCGCAGGTGCCACTTCTAGTATTCCCGCGCGGCACTGGCACAATGCCTTCGCGCTTATAATTGACCTTTAACGCTGTACTGCGGGTCTTGTTAACATAAAGCTGCCTGCTGCTCTGGCTTCGCGGCGCCTGCCTGCACTTTGTTGCTTGTCGTGTTGGACTGTTGCTGTTAACATTTTTATTATAGGGTTGAGTGTTAATCAATTATGCCGCTAATTTGTTTTTTTCTCTCTCTTTCTTTCTGTTATCTTTTGAAATTAGAATGCTTTGCAATATCTTGTTCTAGAAATTCGTAAAATGATGACCAATGCTAAATATCTATAAACAAATCTTTATGCACAGATCAGTTCATAAATAGCAAATTCCTCAGTGACATACCAAAAGCGTGTCTCACAAACCTTGCAGAATAGAAGCGCCACGCCACGGGACACGCCTGCGAAGAAAGAAAGAAAAAAAAAATCAATTTAGGTTCATAAACTCAATCCGTGGATTCCTCCCCGAGCCCGCCCCTTAGAAAAAAAAAAGAAAAATTGAGTCGGCACTCTCATCACCACACTTTTCTAAAGGGCGCTACAGCTTCATCACCATCCTGCCTATTACTCCAGCTGCTTCTGTCATCACCATCCG